TTCTCATAATTTTCTAACCTAATCTCGACCATCCTCTAACTCATTTTTCTACTCCCACTCTTTGTCAGTTATCTACATTATTCCCTGCTTCATGCAGTCTTCCATGCTGTCTCCATGCTATATTCATGCTGTCTTCATTCTGGCTCGCATCCATGCAATCTCACCTTTATGTCAGGCATTTACATGCTTTCTTTTGTGTGTCACGTCACGTCTGGTCTGCGTCTTGTCATGTGTCTTACGCATTCTGCCATGCATTCCCTGTTGCATCAACATGCACCCTGTCTGTGTCTCGTCACGTGTCTTGTATTTCGTCATGTCATTTGTTCATATATGTTATCATCCGCAAGAATCATCCGCAAGATCATTATCAGACTCATCCGCAAGATTCATTATCAGACTCATCCGCAAGATCATTATCAGACTCATCCGCAAGATTCATTATCAGACTCATCCGCAAGATTCATTATCAGACTCATCCGCAAGATTCATTATCAGAATCATCCGCAAGATTCATTATCAGACTCATCCGCAAGATTCATTATCAGACTCATCCGCAAGATCCATTATCAGACTCATCCGCAAGATTCATTATCAGACTCATCCGCAAGATTCATTATCAGACTCATCCGCAAGATTCATTATCAGACTCATCCGCAAGATTCATTATCAGACTCATCCGCAAGATTCATTATCAGACTCATCCGCAAGAATCATTATCATCGTCATCATCATGGGTAAGTTTTCATCATCGTTATCATCATGGGTAAGTTTTCGGCATCATCATCGTCATCATCATCGTCATCAACATCATCCGCAGGATTCATCATCATCATCGTCATCATCACCATCATCCGTAAGATCCATCATCGTCATCATCATCGTCATCATCATCATCCGCAGGATTCATCATCATCATCGTCATCATCACCATCATCCGCAGGATTCATCATCGTCATCATCATCGTCATCCGCAGGATTCATCATCGTCATCATCATCATCATCCGTAAGATTCATCATCGTCATCATCATCATCGTCGTCATCATCATCATCCGCAGGATTCATCATTGTCATCATCACCATCATCCGCAGGATTCATCATCGTCATCATCATCATCGTCATCCGCAGGATTCATCATCATCATCATCATCGTCATCCGCAGGATTCATCATCATCGTCGTCATCATCATCATCATCGTCGTCATCCGCAGGATTCATCGTCATCATCATCGTCATCCGCTGGATTCATCATCGTCATCATCATGGATAAGTTTTCATCATCGTCATCATCATCATCATCATGGGTAAGTTTTCATCATCATCATCATCGTCATCATCTTCATCGTCATCAACATCATCCGCAGGATTCATCATCATCATCCGCAAGATTCATCATCGTCATCATCATCGTCATCATCATCCGCAGGATTCATCATCATCATCGTCATCATCATCGTCATCCGCAGGATTCATCATCATCATCATCGTCATCATCATCATCATCATCATCGTCATCGTCATCATCATCCGCAGGATCCATCGTCATCCGCAGTATTCATCGTCATCATCGTCGTTATCATCGTCGTCGTCGTCGTCATCCTCATCGTTTTCGTCATCATCATCGTCATCCGCTGGATTCATCATCATCATCGTCATCATCATGGATAAGTTTTCATCATCACCATCATCATCATCATCCGCAAGATTCATCATCATCATCGGTAAGTTTTCGGCGTCAACCGTGGTCGCCATCCTCATCAACAACCTGGCTCGGTAAGTTCTTTGCAAACCTTCTCAGCATTTCATTACGCATTCTTTTATTCTGTCCTAGTGTATGCCCTACGAGCATACGGACTCTCCGGCCTCAACCTCGGCTTTTTGGCTGAGGCTATTCTCATTCATCTACTCATGCATGTTAAAGCTTAATTCAGCATGAATGTTCCTGCCGAGGTCTGAGCGCCAAAGACTATACTTTCTTATCAATAAATTCTTCTAATTATCTTTTCTCTCTGTGTGAGTTTTTCAGATTGAAATGAAGCTCTAGCGGAAGTTCAATTGAAGAAACTCTGACTTACCTCCATCCAATCAGAAGCTGACCCGTCTCCGAAGCGAGCCAATCAGCTTCGAACTACTCCACCATGAAGCCCAATCAACGTCCTGCTTTCAATTTATAAACTCTTTCAAATCCTCATCCCAGCCCGCTATCCTGCAATCGCAATGTCGGATTTCGATTCAGACGACAATTCACCCACCTCCATCCCCTTCTCCGCCATCGCAGCTGAATCGTCCTTCATGACACGACTTCACCTCAACCTCATCAGAGAGTAGGGCTGCAACTAACGATTATTTTAAAAATCGATGAATCGGCCGATTATTTTATCGATTAATCGATGAATCGGACAAAAAATATTTTTATTTTATTTAATATATATATGTATATATATATATATATATATATATATATATATTATATTTTATAATATTAATATTTTTTTCCAAAATAAACATTTTAGACAGAACAAACAAGCACACAAGTACATGTTGCTCATTAACTGTACTGGTGCAATATGAAAAATAAATGTTTGTGTTAAAACTACGCAAACTTACATGAAAAATGTAGCTGTACATCCACAAAATATAGTGTACTTTGTTTCATAAAGCGCAAAAAAAGGCATTTTTGTTTTCTAAAGCCCCTAAGGGGTTCAAACAATAGGCCCCCCCCATTTCAACAAATGAGTTTGTTTTTTTTTACTAGAAGAGTTCTGCCTTTTAAGACAGGAAAGTATAGCAGTTAAAGTTGCTACTTGAGAAAATACTGAACCATAGAGATAAAAATAGCCCTGTGATTCAAATTATAAATTGTATTTGGAATAAAAATGAGAGAACTAGGGGTGCTAAAAAACACATCCTCCAAAGACAGATATTTACATGTGAATGTGGCATATAATTAATTGACATATTACTGATCTTGCTGGATTTTATTCTGCTTTACTTCCATAAATTGCAGGATCTTCTTTACTTTATCTTTGCCAGAAGATTTAAACTTTAAAAGCCTTGCCCTCATAATTTGCAAGATAATTTATTTATAAAGGCTATTAATTATTGTGATCAATTTGCACCGTCAATCCCGGCACATGCGCGCTTCATTTGCAGTCTGGACGCTGAAACAGGCTGCAGCGGGATGCTTCTCCAAGTACATCCTGCGGCTCTGATTGCAGCGCTGAGAGAGATTCCTGCGGGAGAACGGGGTTGGGAGAGGGGAGGCGCCCCACGGCAGCAGCTGCCGCTGGAGGACAAGAGTAGGAACGATACATGCTTTCACGTAAGAGTCTCCAAAAGCCGCCAATGACACCGTAAAAAGTCGCCAGATTTGTCGCTAGTCACTTTTTTTAAAAAAATAGTCGCTGGAGGGGTCTAAAAAGTCGCTAAATATAGCGACTAAGTCGCTGAGTTGGAAACACTGCGCACCTGCGGCGCTGACTCGCTCTGCCGTATCTTTTTTTTTTCTTCCCCTTCAGTCAAGTGGCAGTGATAATGGCGGCAGCGGATGACGCATTAATCGCGCGACACAACTAATCGATGATGAAATTCGTTGCCAACGCTTTTAAAAGTCGATTTTTATCGATTTTATCGATTCGTTGTTGCAGCCCTATCAGAGAGTATAAATCCCAGTTGTCACCATCCCTCGTCTCATCGCATTGGTCCGGCAGAAGACCACCATGTTGAGCCCGGTTCTGCCAGAGGTTTCTTCCCAAGGGGGAGTTTTTCCTCTCCACTGTCGCTTCATGCTTGCTCATTATGGACAGTTCACGGTACCTGCATCACCAAGCAGGACCTCTATATCCCGAGTCTGAGTGAAGCCCCGGCGTCAGCTCCCTCAGTCTTCTAGTCCCACATTCTGCTCAGCAGATCACCTTGTCAACCAGCTCGGATTAAACCACCACCAGTTTCAGGCCGGGGGGAACATCCCTATTCTCATTCATCTACTCATGCATGTTAAAGCTTAATTCAGCATGAATGTTCCTGCCGAGGTCTGAGCGCCAAAGACTATACTTTCTTATCAATAAATTTTTCTAATGATCTTTTCTCTCTGTGTGAGTTTTTCAGATTGAAATGGTATTATCAATGGCGTAATGACACAACAAGGAACATTATCTGGGTGGGCCCCATGCGAAGTACAACACCCTCATCCTCCGCCCCCCCGTCGCTAGCACATTGTACGTAATGGTTATGATTTTAATCTACGCTCTGGATTACCCATAATTCCAAATCGTTGTGTAAAAAATAAAATACTCAAATACATTGTTCTTTTAGGATCTCCATTGAGATTTAAAACATATTATATGAGTGTTTTCTTTTTTAACCAACCGTCTAATGAACTTTATACAGTTATTAAAATAGTAAAAGTACCTCTGTCTGCTTTGGTATTGGCGTCGTGTTTAAACTGTTCACCATCATGTTGAAATCCGCCATGTGTTGGGGTATAAATAAGGTTTGGTCAGTCAACTAAGTATCAGTTGGGCTTAAGAGGAATTTTTTGCACCATTAAATCTGCAAAGAGACGTCCTAGTCCACAATTTTGTAGGGGGCCAACCAGGTGTCAGTGACGGGGCCCCTAAGAGGTCGCGGACCCCTAAGCAACTAGAGTCTCTGCTTACCAATACTTATGTGACATCTACTTATTTCAGGAGACACTCAGAATTATGTACGTTATGGTTTGGCGCTCCGTATAACTCAGGAATTATGGAGCTCAAGGAGAGTCAGAAGAGCCAAAAAAATAAAACTGTTTCAGATTTAGTATTTAAAGTAAATATTTTAAAAGCTTCTCATAACTGGACTATTTAAAACAAAAATGAAGGTGTTTGTTAATAGTTTTTCTCAATCCATTATTTAATCACTGCAATAAAAAATGTATTTTCAAAGCCTTTCTGTTGAAGAGCCTCACTAAATTTGACAGCTGCTCAAACCGGCCGGACGAGAACAAACGTTGCTGAACTCACCTCGAACCTCCTGGATCTTTGTTGTGGAACGGCTGGTTGATCACGCCCATGACCGGCTCGCCCGTGCTCCGCAGGTACACCCCGATAAGAACCAGGGCGCAGTGAAGACCTGAAGGGAACAAGCGGCCCTCCTCCAGAGCCTCCTCTCGCCCCTCTATGTACTGACTGGTGGCGTCTTCAAACATAACAAAGACGTTAAAACTCAGATTTTTCTTTTTTTGGAGCTATTAAAGCAGCTGGTGAGTTTTTTGTTTTTGCTGTTACCTATTGGGTCGATCCAGATTCCCAGCTCAGAGGGTTTAAGGGGAACCGTCAGTCCGTCTATGGTCGCCTCTATGGTGGCCGGATCTTGGTGGATGGCCCCGGCCAGCAGGGCCGCTGCCGCCTGGTCGCCGTCTAACACAGTGGCCAGCAGCTTGGCGGTCTCCTCCTCCGTGCTGCACACAGTCACCGCCACGCTTTCCCCTGTTCAAAACAGCGAGATTCACTCCAAACGTCAGGCGTTCCATGTTTGGAGAGTGACATGTCTGCTCATATTTGCTGAGCTCTGACTGCTGGACTGTTTTTAGTCATGTTAGAGTGAAAAGGTTGCTTCTTTTAAGGCCAGACCAGAAATCTCAGCAACGCATCATCATTTTTTATTGTTTCTCAAAGCAGATAAATCCTTTTCAGAAATCTTGTTTGACAGTATTTGATCTATAAAACCAAAACATTATAACACCCAGGCCAGCTAGGGGACAATAAGAGCTGATCCATCATCATATTTAAAGAGTATAATATCTAATTATCTTACTTTAAGGGGGGAAATACTTGTTCTATTGGCAAATTATCTTATTTACCTGCTTGAATGACTATTATTTTAAGACATTTTTGGTGATTTAGATCAGTTTATGCAGTGTACCATGCTTTTTATGGTTTACAGAAAACAGTTTCTCTTTGTTTACATGCAGCCAATTTTGCGTTGTGTTCCTCGGTTCCTTCCAGAAACCTCTGCTTGGAAAATGTCCTTATTTTCTCAGATTCTCCACTCAGTCCAGTGAAGGAGAAAAGAAAACGACTCTGAAGAACCAGGATCTCCAATAAGAGGCCGTGAAAATGACACAAACTGACTGAATGCTTTTTTTTTTCCCAAGCAGTGAATGACTATAGTAGGGGAATAACAGGCAAAGTGCTTTTAAAACTCTGGGTGAAGTGCCGGTCTGCTGGCTCTCCAGGCTACCTCCCTTTAGAGACATTTGTCTTAGGTAGAGTTATCAAAGCAAACCTACTATTATAGTCGTAGGTATCCGGTATCAACACTAAAGGGAAAAGTTTTCTGAATTTTTCTGCTGTTGTTAATTTCATTTTTCTGGATTATTTGCAAGTTAATAGAATAATACTTTTAGAAAAAGGTACATAGTCGTGTAATGTGACATTTTTTCTATTTTAACTACTGGCCTAATAATAGAAAAAAATGTCAGCATCATATAAAAATGTAATTTAGGCGTCTTTTGCTTTCCGATTATTAATAAAAAAAACTGATAAACGGGTGAATGGATTACCAAAATACATTAAGCTGCAGTCCTAGTGATAACCCAATAGATTTTTCTTTTCATCGTAGTTTTGTTAGAATATAAACTGCCATCAGAGGTGGAAACTGCAGCCGTTATGCAGCTGAGTTATGCTCCCTGAGGTATCTGGCAGATTTCTCCCGACTCTTCAGCAGCTATTGCTGCCATTCTTTTTTTACATTTTGTTACTGCTGTAGTATCGTGAGTTACAAGCCAGCAAAGATGAAAAGCAAACTTCATAAAAAAGAAGATATGCGAGTAATTACCAAGCCCGTTTTCAAACTTGTTTGACTCCTCTCCATGAATGAAATCAGACATCTCAGGGAACTGCACATAAAAAAACAAACAGGACAGTAAAAAACCCTGATCTCCAGCTGTGCTGCTCTCTGCTGACTCATCGTTGATCACCTGAACTCCAACATCATGCAGAATCATCTCCTGGATCACCACGTCGGCCAGCGTTTTGAAGTCCTGCACAAACTTCTTGTTCTTGTCCTCTCCGGTCTTCTCCTGCACCAGGAGCTGAAAGAGGTGGGCGTCCTGTCTGCAGAGGCGAGCCACGTTCGCAGCCTTCTCGGCCACCCGCAGCAGCAGCCTCAGCAGGTCGGCCATGTCTGTGCAGCAGAGGCAAAGGAACCACAGAGAAGAACGGGATGAAGGAGGTCAGGTTTGCACACGATAGGCTAATTATAGCCGGAAAATGAAAACAGGGCACTTCTGGAAAAAAAAGACATGAGCGAGGGAGGGATTTGGCTGCAGGGTTTTGCATGTTTTTCAGGAGAAAAAGTTAAAAATGGATGCAGCTCACTATTCAATTCCCAATAACATTGTTTGGAATCATGCAAACATTTGCACCACAGAATTTGAGTGACATAGAGACACCTTGTTTGGTTAAAGTTGGGATCAACCCCTAATTTGTTTGCTTCCAAGGAGACAGATTTCACTCTGACCTTTAGAGATCAAAACCTTCAAACAATGTTTGAAGGTTTCTCTTCAAACTTTTCTGTTCCAGAAACAATGTGAGATTCTTTAAGTTTAGGCGCATTTTGTAAACCTAAAATGATACAAAGATTTCAGCTAAAGATCCCGTTTTCTCAGAGCTACTAACACGTTTATTGTGAAAAAATACAATTTTCCTCCAACTCACTGTCATCTGTACAAAAACCTTTCTAAGTTTTCTGTTTTAATTGTTTTCAAATCCTCTGAAAAACAATTTTTACTTCAAGATCAATTTTCATCTTCCTAAAATCTATGGAGTGAATTTTGTTCCATTATTGTTGAAAGCAAATAAGGGTCACAGGTTTGAAAAAACAAAAAAAGAAATAATTCAAAAATAAAGCTTCTCAAACAAAAATACAGTTTTTAGAGCAACTTTGCTCTTTGAGCTTTAAGAATTGCTTTCTTTAAACTGCTTTTTACAAATTGCATTACCTACACGTCAAACCCCACACAGACAGTTGACAAATAAAATGTTGTTCCTAACATCCAGCAGACCAATAAAAATGCATGTTTGCTTCTCACCACAGAAGAAAGCCCGCCCCAAGAGGTAAGCATGGCCCACGTCAAGGCCTTGGCTCTCGACGTGAGCTTGAATCCGACCTGTGGTCCTTTGCAGCACGTCTCCCTCATGACCCCTTTCCTGTCTGCCTACTGTCCAAAAAATGAGCCACTAGTGCTGTAACCCCCCCTAAAAAAATAAATCTATATAGCACTATAGAGTGGTTATGTCATTTTATATGAGAGTCCAAATTTCTAATGGATGGACTCATAATTTCCCCTGATTCACTTTGAAAAGTAGTGTGCATCCATTAGGGGTGTGCAAAATAATCGTCAAGATGATGCATCGTGATTCTTATTTTCATGATCTACTGCATCGATTCTTGACGCCAAGTATCGATTATTAATTTTAAAAAATTGAATAAATAAAATTGCATGAATGGTTGGCGAACATCAGCCAAAAACAAGTGTAATACAACTTCCAGCCCAGTAGATGTCGCTGCAAATGTGTTGACGCACGCTGCCTTGTGTCACAAGCATTTCCGGCTGCGGGATACTGCGCCGAGTCATTCAAAAACAAAACATGGGAGGAGAAAATATTGCAATGCATCGCAATAATTCAAGTACCGTGGTGCATCGTGATAGAATCGCATCGTGGCCTGTGAATCATGATTCGAATCGAATCGTGACTTCTTTGGCAATACCCACCCCTAGCATCCATGGTCTCTAGATGAGCAGATGTATCTCAGAATGCTCAAAAAGTATTATGGGATTAAATCGATTTCAGATAATAAAGTAAAAAATCTTGGTGTTGTTTTTGATCAGGACCTGTCATTTAAATCGCATTTAAAAGATGTTTCTAGAATTTCCTTCTTTCATCTGAGGAATATTGAAAAAATTCGAAATCTCCTGTCCAGGGGTGATGCTGAGAAACTAGTCCATGCATTTATTAATTCCATTATGGACTATTGTAATTCTTTACTATCAGGAAGTCCACAAACTGTAGTTAAAGGAAAATTCCGGTTTTTAACACTTTTAGCCCATTTTCTGTAGTGTCCAGGATGAAATCGAATGATTGACACCAAAATTTTGACGATTGGTCCTGTCTCTGCTATTTGGCTCATGCAGAATCCCCCCCTGGCTGCTTCAGAATGGCTTGCATAGTGCATGTCCGATAATGTCCTTAAAACAACCTTAAACGTTCTTTTTTTAAAATATGCTACTCACCGGGTCGTCAGCGCTGTTCAATGACGTTCCAAAAAAAGTGTTGTGAAGAAAAACCGTTCCTGTCTTGTTTTATTTAGCATTTTGTAAATCCCAGAACTATTTTTTCCGATACATCACAACCGCTTATAAACTTCCGCTTCCCGTTCGAATCTGAAGCGTTGCACACTCCAGACCACTAGTTGGCAACGGTATCCTCTACCGTCAAACTCAAAGTCCAATATGTCCTCCTCAAGAATCCACCTTTCGTATTCCATTTTCAGAGTTTTTTAAAGTGTTTAACAGAGACGTTAGCACCTCGACGTCGGAGTACACAGAGTAACGCAGAAACACTTGGGCCTTGCGAAAAGACTACAACTAAGCGTAAACAGGCCCCATTTCCGTTTCCGGTGGCGGAGGGATATTGACTATTCCAACAGAACTCAATGGGATTTACAAAATGCTAAATAAAACACTACAGGAACGTTTTTTCTTTACGAAACTTTTTTTGGAACGTCATTGAACAGCGCTGACAACCCGGTGAGTAGCATATTTTAAAAAAAGAACGTTTAAGGTTGTTTTAAGGACATTATCGGACATGCACTATGGAAGCCATTCTGAAGCAGCCAGGGGGGATTCTAAATGAGCCAAATAGCAGAGACAGGACCAATTGTCAAAATTTTGGTGTCGATCATTCGATTTCATCCTGGACACTACAGAAAATGGGCTAAAAGTGTTAAAAACCGGAATTTTCCTTTAAAAGCCTTCAGCTGATCCAAAATGCTGCAGCAGAGTTCTGATGAAAATGAAAAAGAGAGATCATATCTCTCCTATCCTGGCTTCTCTTCATTGGCTTCCTGTTAAATCCAGAATAGAATTTAAAATCCTCCTTCTCACATATAAAGCCTTAAATGGCCAAGCTCCATCTGATATCAGAGATCTGATTGTTCCTTATGTTCCTAACACAGCACTTCGCTCTCAATCTGCAGGTTTACTAGTGGTTCCTAGAATTTCTAAAAGTAGAATGGGAGGCAGATCTTTTAGTTATCAGGCTCCTCTCCTGTGGAACCAACTACCAGTTTTAGTTCGTGAGGCAGACACCCTGTCTACTTTTAAGGCTAGGCTTAAAACTTTCCTTTTTGATAAAGCTTATAGGTAGAGTGGCTCAGGTTATCCTGAACTATATAGTTATGCTGCTATAGGCTTAGACTGCTGGAGGACATAGGGACCCCTATTTCATCATTCTGCTTCATTCTATCTCTATTCTCCCACTCTGCAGAATCTGTTAGTTCAATCTCTAACGTTCTGCTCTCTCTGCTTTTCCTCATAGTAGTTTTGCCTCGTCTGTTCCTGTTTGGCTGTGAAATTATCCTGGAGAGAAATATCAGCTGTGCTGCTGCCATCAACACCGTTTTTAATAGATGTTGCAGCCTGGCCTGTTTTTCAGTGTAGTACTGTTGCTCTGACTGTGACTAACTGTATGTGCTCTCTCTCATCCTTGGGATGGGAGCTGGCTCAGAGCTCATCAGCCTGGCTGTGTTTCCTGGACGGGGCCGCCTGTGGAGCTAGTTGACAGTTAACTTTTCTATTTCTGCTTCTGTCTCCTTGAACCCCAGTCGGCCTCAGAGGATGGCTGCTCACGCAGAGTCTGGTTCAGCTGGATGTTTCTTCCAGTTAAAAGGGAGTTTTCTTCTCCACTGTCGCTTCAAGCATCAAGTTTTCAATCATTGCACGCAGCTACAGCTCAAACTGTAAAACGAAACCGCAGGGTTTGAAAGTTCACAGCTCACGATTCATGTTCTCACACTGTGTGGCCCGATGCTCTGATGCGATCTTACAACGCCACGACTGAAGTTCAAACATTTCATTTTCTCCTGACCTTACGATTCCTGAGGTGTTTGTGAGCGGCTGATCACCCCTCATTACCACCTGTATACTACACGATGCACGATGAGGCTGAAAGTCGGCCCAATCGAAAAATTCTCGCACGACTGGAGAATCAGCCCGAAAAGGGCAAAAAAATCCTACAGTGTATTCCCGGCTTTAGAAAACATTGAACCAATTTGACTGGATGATCTGGTTGAATTAAAGTTTTTTATTTTATTTAAATTATTTTGAGATTAAAAACCTCTTTTTCAAGACAACTGGAAAGCCATACCAAGGACCAATCACAGCTGCTCTAAGGCCATAAATCTAAAGAAAAACATTTTTTACCCATAGACGGCCATCCTAAACTGTAAGGTGGGAAACATTAGCCTTTAGATGCAAAACCTCATCATGCACCTTAACATATTTTTGCAAAATATTCAAACATAAATTTGCCAAATATGAGAGGAACATTGTAGTTTGATTTAAAGAAAGCATTTTAGTTTTATTATAATTTAGTTTGTTGCAAAGATTTTACAGTTTGAAGAAATAGAAAATTACACCTTATGCCAACCATCACAAGAATGTGCATGAAGAGGAAGGGCTATATATACTGCATGCATCATTTAGATAGTTAACATCGGATTACTTCTTGAGCTCCAGGTAGGAGCTTTATCCGGAGAGTAAACGTTGGGGTGGTATGATTTAAGGAGGGCACCGACCCACTGGGTAAATGGTAAATGTTTTGCCAAAAAAAAAATCGATTCAAGGAACTAAATGATCGATATCACATCAGGCAGCCAAAAGCATATTTTTTTCCACACCCTCAGCGCCATGGGCGTAGGTTTGCATAGGGACCATATGGACATGTCCCTACCAAAATTTTGGACGGACCTATTTGTCCCTACCAATAATTGGATGTGAACAACATGTTTATAATTTACAATACAGCAGCCGCTTCTTTTCCTCTCGGTTTAACTCTCTGATTATTCTGCCTTAAGTTCCGCCTTCTCTCTTTCTGATTGCGTGTTTTCTAGTCTGTATGTGCGCGCGTGGCGCGGGTGCTTGGAGCGCAAAAAAAAAGACGCTAAAATAAATTAATATTGGGCTACGAAACTAGTCCAAATTAAAAACTTATTATCTACGCTAAAACAGGCGAAAGCTTCTGATTGGAGTTCTGTAAAGAAGCAGGAGAGAGTTTTTTTATTTGTGGAACTTGAGAAATGTAAGTTAACAACGTTAGGATTTCTTTTATTTTATCTTTTAATCAGATAGCCAAAGGCTCCTTAAAGAAGATCTTTTATGAAATGAAACCAGGTGAAACAGAAACGTTTAAACGTTTCCTTTGGAGGAGTTCTGGATGGACCCCGCCTCTCGCCCATTGACTGCTGGAGATAGGCACCAGCACCCCTCGCGACCCAACTTGGGACAAGCGTGTAAAGAAAAAGGATGGATGGATGGAGAATATTGACAGACAAAAACTACTATTTTTTTTTTACTTCTTAAATGCAAAATGTTTACATATTTTTTATAATCTTAGTATAATTCCTGCTCTAAGTGGGTCGCTCTGTCGGCTAAAGGCACATTTTAGTGGCCCTATACTCCAGTTTACGATTAATCAATTACTAAATTAGTTCACGATTATTTAAATAACTTGTTAATATGATTAATTGTTTCAGCCATAGATAAAATACATGGAATTAGCTACACAGAGTAACAACAGCCCAGATGTACAAATTCTAATATTAATATTTTAAATGCTCAGTGTCAGTTCCTCTTCTAGTTCCAGTGCACATGTAAATACAATACATGTATTTGCCGTCCCTTGAATGTATTATTTTGCATGATCCAGAGAGAGCATATTAGATAAAAAAAAATAAGAGTGGGTTTTACCTCTGCACAATTCTCTATCTTCAGAAGAAAACACAGGATAAATCCACATATTATAAACTATATTTGGTTAAACAGACACTGTCTTAGTCGCAGGTAAATTTAAATGCAATCCTTTTCAACGTGGAAAAAGTCCTAATTCCACATTCATCAGAGCCAGTGATGCTTTAAATATTGATAAACAGCATCTAGTGCATGTAGTGCTTATAAGATTTGTATTAATGTAGCAAGAAATGCTGCTGTTCTCTTTTAACAAAATGAGCCCTGAAGCTCACATTAAGCATAAAAAAGAGCATGCATATTTTTTGCAAAGGACCAATGAAACTGAAGAATAGTGTCCCTACCAAAATTGAAATCAAACCTACGCCCTTGCTCAGCACCAAACCCCTACTTTGGGAAACAATTAGCTCTTATGACGTCATCAACCCAAATACTGTACATAAACATTTAAGAGCTCATTTATTTATTTTTATCATTATGTTAAATATCAGTGTTTCAGAGGCCAGCTTCAGTTTATCACTTTATAGTTTCATTAACGATAACAATTTTTCTTTAGAAAGAAAAAAAAACGAAGAGGTTAGGGATATGACCTGTTAACATCACAGTCTAAATAAATGAACAACCGACTTGAACATAAACCGTTACGAGACCTAGATTATATCATTTAGAGTCTAATATGTTCATTTTTTTCGTAACCGTAGCAGTCCTCAGTTTGTGTTCTTGAAAGCAGTAAAAGGCGTAAAGATTTAGCCGAACATAAGAGAGGAGATGATCTGAATGAGAGAGCAGAGAGAAAACAAACACACCTCAGCTAAGCTCGCTCCTCTGGAACCAGTCAGCTTCACGCAGCTGCAGCAGCGAGGGTTCAGCAGGAGCACGGCGACTTCCAGTTATTATTATTTTTATTTTTTGGTATTTAAGCCTTTAATTAACAGTGGGCTCTGCCTGCTCGCTCGTTTTACGTCAGTTTCCTACCGCAGGAAGGGCGGCGGACGCACCTCTCACAGCACGGCGGCTCAAAAATTCAAGGCGGAGACAGAAACCCGGAAGTAAAACACGGTGGCTCTGTTCGAAAACCTAGGACGCATCCTTAGAAGACCGGATTCGAAGGCCGATTACGTCATAGCGCGGCGCCGAGGTCTGGTCGGATTCCAAGAGTCCTCGTTATGCGGCCTTAAAATGCGTCCTTCCTTTTGCCCGATTTGAAGGACGGGTCTGATGTATCCTCGGTATTCTTGGATATCCCAGGAGTCATTGCGAGACCAAGCAAGCTGTGATCAGAGGAAAGGTTACTTGGCGCCGAACAATGGTGAAAATTGGAAGTTCAGTTTAATATAATACAGGTCTGTGAATAGTTCCGTCTGAAATGAATGAAAATAGTTGTTTTAATGGTTATAGAGTCAGATATGTGGCGGTAATGTTTGATTTATCTCAACGTTTTTATCTGTTACTGTGTAAATGAGTTTGGCTGTAATTTAAGGACAGATTCTAATAGATCTGCAGGGTGGGGACTATAAATCTGATAGGATTTTTATCTTTTTATTGCTATTTTGCACAATATGCTTAACTTCCTATTTTTTGTTGTTGAATATTAGAGATTTTGCAGATATATTTTTTGTAAATATATTGTTTAGATTTACTTATATCTTTCTACCCCTTTTATAGAATAGAATAGAAAATCCCTTTATTGTCCCACAATGGGAAAATTTACAGCAGCAGAAAGATTATTGAAAATGGTCACACAAATGAGGACCTTAGAAAAATGTATAAGAATAACATAATAGGTAGGAGTTAAAATATAAACAATAAAATACTGTAAAGTGTTTTAACAATATAAAACTGGGGAATAAATAACCAATATGCAGCTATGCACATTTTTACAGTAATGGATATTTGAAAATAGCAGCAACATCAGAGATGTGCAGAATGACAGCAGCATGTTATTTAACTGACTAAGGTTTCTATCATTACATTTGATTTTATTTGTTCCTGCTCCCGGCTGTTGGAACATTTATTCCACTCTGGATTCTTGTGAGTGTAGTCTTTGTTCACCTCACAATAACAAATAAATAAATAAACAGTTTTGAAAACTTCTGTATTCATTCTTTTCCTGCTTTGTGTGTCAACGTTCACGGTTGCTAAGCAACAGAGCATACGGCGGTAAAACCCGCCAAAGGGTAGACCTGGTCGAATTTACAGCCAAAACTCTTTCGGTCTCCTTATTTTCAAGGACTTCGGAGGATCCAGTCTAGGTAGACCGCGTCCTTGGAGGACCCGTCCTAGGTTTTCGAACAGAGCCGGTGTTTTGTTCAAGGCGCAGACAACCGGAAACGGGCCGTGCTGCGTTCAAGGACAGCCGTTTTTTCCTGATAAATAATACGGTTGTAGGAGCCAATTATTTTTTGTCAGTAGTGTCAAAAGTACACACATTTGTTACCTAAGTAGAAGTATAGATACTGCAGTTTAAAATCACTCTGGTAAAAGTTGAAGTATCAACTTGACCTCTTTACTCAAGTAAAAGTGAAAAAGTATGTGCTCCAAAAACTACTTAAAGTATAAAGTAACCTTTAAGAAAAACAGCCAGATGCCACTATATAAACTGAAAGCTGAATTTTTCTACTTTATTGTTTGATATAAAATACATTTTTAAATTTAAAATATATTGTTCAACAATAATTTGTATTAAAACAATTACACATTTCCCTAATCATAAAGCCATAAAAACTTTTGAGTTATATGCTCTTATCAATGGCCACAGTATCTTTATAATATGACTTTATACACATTTCTCTTACTTTTATGATGCAAAGTCATTCTTCGGGTCTTGTAAGAAGTATAGATGCATTCAACACTGACATAAATGTCTTAATAAGTGGTGGATTCCAGAAATTTGGGGCCCAAGGTGAAGGCAAGCATGGGGCCCTCTGAAATGAGAAGATAAGACACAAAACAAAAGGACAATTATACAAATACAGACATTTTAAAAGAGAATGCTTTATTTTTTACATGTTGTCCCTCTCTTTCTGTGCCTTCATCAGCTTGTCTCCCTTCTGTCCTTTGTCTCATTGTCTTTATTTTTCCCCCTTGCTCTTCCTTACATTTTCTTGTGGGTTTTGCATTTTCCTCCTTTTTGTTCCCATCTTTTTCTTCTTATTCTGTCTGTTTTGCTCACATTCCTCTCATTTTTTCTCTATTCCTGTTACCTTTTTTCTTTTTGTTTTCCTCTTTGGTTTGTCCCTTTTTCTCCTATTCTTTGTTTTCTCTGTTTTGTCTCTTAAACCTTATTTTGCTAATCTTGGCCTCAGGTAATCTTGCAATGAGGACATCCATATCCACTGACCAACAAATTCCCCTGGAAATGAAATATGTAGTAACAATAAAGAAAAAACAATGTCAAAACATGTGTTAAAGTCACTGTCTCATCCCATTGACCGTTACCTCTGGCAATCCCATATCCTAACCCAAATTAAGCACAGTTTAATAACAAGAAACTATACTAAGAAAAAAGTGAAAGAAACAATATTTTTTTCTGTTGCAACATAAACTTAGAGCATTAATGCTGATACTGGCACTTGTTGATATATCATTCAAGGGCTCATCTAATTGGTCAAATGCCAAACTCACATGTACAGCCTCCCCATTTGTACGAGTGGTTAAAATGATAACTTACCCTATAAAGGGTTAACTGCAAAATCAATATATTAAATTCCAATGAGCTAAATCTAATTATGTTAATACAGCTCAATATTAATAAAAATGAACTAAATTTGCATAATTAAACATTAATAGCAAATGTTGAATTTAACTTCACAGATAAAAATCAAACATCATGTCTGCAACTGTGGATCTTAATTTGATACTTATTATAGCAATATATATATATATATATATATATATATATATATATATATATATATATATATATATATATATATATATATATATATATATATATATATATATACACACACACACTACTCAACAAAATTAAAGGAACACTTTGTAATCAGAGTATAGTATAAAGTTAATTAAACTTCTGGGATATTGATTTGGTCAGGTAAGTAGCAGAGGGGGTTGTTAATCAGTTTCAGCTGCTTTGGTGTTAATGAAATTAACAACAGGTGCACTACAGGGGCAACAACGAGACGTCCATCAAAACAGGAATGGTTTTACACTCTTTTTCACCAGTTTTGCATTTGGCTAGGGTCACTGTCAGTACTGTTAGCATGAGGCGCTACCTGGACCCTACAGAGGTTGCACAGGCAGTCCAGCTCCTCCAGGTAGGCACATAAAGAGCATTGAGGAGATTCCAAGAGACAGGCACTCAAGAAGAAATGGACAGGGCCGTAGAAGGTCTACAACCCATCAGCAGGACCGGTATCTGCTCCTTTGTGCAAGGAGGAGCAGGAGAAGCACTGCCAGAGCCCTACAAAATGACCTCCAGCAGCCCACTGGTGTAAATGTCTCTGACCAAACAATCAGAAACAGACTCCACACTAGTGGGCCCTGTGCTCACTGCCCGACACCATGGAGCTCGATTGGCATTTGCCACAGAACACCGGAATTGGCAAGTCTGCCACTGGCACCCTGTGCTTTTCACATATGAGAGCAGGTTCACCCTGAGCACATGTGACAGACGTGAAATGGTCTGAAGAAGCCATGGAGAACGTTATACTGCCTGTAACATAATTCAGCATGACCGGTTTGGTGGTGGGTCAGTGATGGTCTGGGGATGCATATCCATTGAGGGACGCACAGACCTATACAGGCTAGACAACGGCACCCTGACTGCCATTAGTTATCAGGATGAAATCCTTGCACCCATTGTCAGCTGGTGCAGTGGGTCCTGGGTTTCTCCTAGTGCATGACAATGCCCGGCCTCATGTGGTGAGAGTATGCAGGCAGTCCCTGGAGGATGAAGGAATGGATACCATTGATAGGCCCCCACGCTCACCTGACCTAAATCCAATAGAAAACCTCTGGCACATTATGTATCGATCCATCCGACGCCGCCAGGTTGCACCTCAGGCTGTCCAGGAGCTCAGTGATGCCCTGGTCCAGATCTGGGAAGAGATACCCCAGGACGCCATCCGTTGTCTCATTACAAGCATGCCCTGACGTTGTCAGGCATGCATACACGCATGTGGGGGTCATAGAAATGACTGAATACCATTTTGAGTTGCTGCAAAGACATTTCAGCAAAATGGACTAGCCTGCCGCATCATTTTTCCACTGTAATGTTTGGGGTGTCTTTGAATTCAGCCCTCTGTAGGTTGATAATTTTCATTTCCATCAAATTATGTGGCATCCTTTGGTTCCTAACACATCACCCAGTCCATATCAGTATAAATAAACAGCATGTTTTTTTTCCCCCATTGAGATCTGATCTGTTTTCAAAGAGTTCCTTTAATTTTTTTGAGCAATGTATATATGTCCTCTTTGCTAGTTAAGGTAATTTAACTTGGTTTAGTAAATTCAACATTACATTTAGTTGGATTCAGTATCTGAAACCTTTAGGGTTAGGGGATTGACTGGCTATAAATACTACCTAAAGGGAATACGGTTATTTCAATCTTATATATACTGTTTTCTCACCCCTCGTGGGGTGGTATGTGTCATCCTCAAGCTCGGGTCCTCTACCAGAGGCCTGGGAGTTCGAGGGTTCTGTGCAGTATCTTAGCTGTTCCTAGGACTGCGCCCTTCTGGTCAGAGACCTATGATGTTTTACCTGGAATCTGCTGTAGCCACTCTCCCAGTTTGGGGGTCACAGCCCCCAGTGCTCCAATTACCACTGGCACCACTGCTGCTCTTACTTTCCACATCTTTTCTAGCTCCTCTTTCAGCCCTTGGTATTTCTCAAGCTTCTCGTGTTCTTTCTTCTTGATGTTGCTGTCGCTTGGGATTGCCACATCTATCACTACTGCCTTCTTCTGCTGTTTGTCGATCAACACGATGTCTGGTTGGTTAGCCATCACCTGTTTGTCAGTCTGGATCTTGAAGTCCCATAGGATCTTAGCTCGGTCATTCGCAACTACCTTAGGAGGTGTCTTCCATTTTGACCTTGGGACTTCCAGCCCATACTCATGGCAGATGTTCCTGTACACTATGACAGCTACCTGGTTGTGGCGTTCCATGTATGCACTTCCTGCCTGCATTTTACACCCTGCTGTTAT